ATCGTATTTCGTCCGGGAAAACTGAATAGGGAAAAGTTTTTAAACCCCTTTTTAAAAGAATAGAATACGTTGATGCAGGAGGGAAAACCCCCCCCCCCATTCCCGGAAAAAGAAAACGGGCCCCCTCCTCAGACATATAAAATACATACCGCTCAATAAAAAGAAACGTTCTCTTTAAGCAAAATATTTTTTTAATGAAAAAGTACAATTTCAGTGTGATATTTAATTTTAGTTTGCTGGAAACCATGTAAAACAATGTAAAAATAACCACCGTTATATCAATACTCTTTAGCTTGACTATTCGATAGGAATAAGTAGAGCTATTGTAGTCACCCGAGCGTCGGCGTCGGTGTCGGCGTAACCACTCATGTTAAAGTTTTTGTAATACCTCAAATATTTTCAAAGTCCATTGACATATGGCTTTGAAACTTTGCACACTTGTTTACCATCATAACCCCAACCTGTAGACAGGAGGAGGTAACTGTATCAAGTATTTTGACAGAATTATTTTCTGAAGGAAATTTATGTATATGTCCTTCAAAAATATATATCAATTAAATCTAATACCACAAAATTGATGAAATTATAAGTTGAACACTATAATTTCTGACCTTCACCTTCTTGATTAGCCAGACGCTTTCTCATATTCTCGGGAATTCTAATTGGTTGCTATGGTCGGTCGCTTTGTGTTATTTACATTCTAAACATTAGCTCATAATTCGAGTGCCACAAGGTATTGATACTTTGGCAACAAATTGAAAACAATACACTTAAAATGCATTTCGTTTAGATTTTCTTTGATTTTCAAAGATTTTCAATGAGATTTGAGTACCAAACCACTAAGAAGTAATAATTATCATAAGAAAATTGTGCCAAATTAATCAAAATAAAATAATTGTAAATATTATTGTTTTTGTTTGTGGTGGTGATGATGTTGATGATGATGTTGCTAATGATTATGATGATTAAGATGATAAAAATAATAACAATAACAATAATAATAATGGTAAAAAAGATAATGATGATATTAATAACAACGAGGATGATGATGATGATAATTATGATTAATTAAAACTTCTATTTGACAATGAATGCATTCGAAATTCCTCTGACGTCTAACAACACAAATGTCTGTGCAGAAACGTTAATGCACCAAATGACGGCAACTATCACACTGGGCCCAGGAAACGATTTTAATGTTTGGATTGTTTCGTAGGGTTGGTGGGGTTGTTTTTCCGCATACACTACATGGAACATCATCTACAATCTCATTCTCAGAATCAAAATCTATTACCACTTATTGATGGGCGAAGGCTTGATTGCGTTTGTGGTTTAGAAAGTGTAGTACTTGTTCCTTTTTAAGGAGCCATGTTTTCTTTTTCAGCTTGTCTATCACCCACATATCTGAGCATATCATCAAGGTTAGTCTTCAGTAATTGCTCTGCTTCCTGGTTTTTGTTTCACAGTTTACGTTTGTGATAACGGAATTTTAGACATCTGGTTCAGGTGATTAAACGTTTTCTGCATTCAGGCGTAAAAATTCTCGGAAAACCTCTTTGCCAGATTTGATTGCTGATACATATAGTCAACAGGCTTCTCTTCTCTAAATGTTTCACAAGTAAATATCTTATTTTGAGAAACGATTTTTCTTTTAAAAGAAAGGATATGTCTTAATGTACATTAACTGGGCTCATTGCTTTCAGACTCTTCAAGAAAGCTTGCACTTTCAAGCAGCTCTTCATTAAAACGCTTCCTTTTAAAGATGCGGAATTGCATTACCTGATGTACTTGCACATGCAATTAAGGTAGTGGTGGTGGACCTAGGTCATGTTACAGCTTGGGGCTTCTTCCTGGTGTAACAATAACATTTGGCGGACTATGATCAGACTGGATACCGGTCTCATCCACGTTATATATAAGATGGGATTTGGAAAGCAGATCATTTTTGGTGTTGATGATTTAGCACGTGTTGACTCCAACTTGCGCACTGCAAGGGAAGCTAAACGATGTTTCCATCTAGAAAGAAGTTATTGCTTAGTAGTTTAATGTTAGTTCCTCTTCCAAGCAAGGTTATTCATTATCTCCCCAGCAATCACTTGAGATTGACAATAAAAAAGGCTAACCTTGTTTCCCATAACTTAAAAAAATAAAAAACCCCCTTTTTTGTTATGGGACAGGTTCTTTTTTTGGACGAATATGAGTCTATTGACCCTAGTGCTTTTTTTCTCAGGGTTTGGACGGGTACAAAAAAAACCCTTATCCTTTTTTCAACTTTCCAAAACCTTCTTTTTGACAGTTGATAACAATTATTAAGTTTTTTTGGTCATACTAAAGATTTTTTGAAGTATTAAAGGATGATTCAAAAAAAAAGGAAAAAAATAAAAAAACCTAGGTGTTGTTATAATAAAGTCAATGCATGTTGGCCTTGATATTTGTAAAGACAAAAGAAAATGATAAAGAACACAAAATTATTTTTATTTGTTTTTTAATTGACGTTTTGGCCGCTAACATTAAAATATGTAGCGTTGACAAAGGGAATTTTACACGTTAAAATAAAATATCAGTTTCCTAGCTACGTAAAATTTAAAGGCGAGTAAGTTTTAATTTTTTTTCTTTAGCATAGAATGAACTGTTTTTTGATGATCATGACAAAAAACAGACATATTAATGGGTTTTACCTGATTTTGCTTTATTTCTTTTTTATTGGTGAATAAAATACCAAGAAGGTTGATCATTTTGGGATATCGATTAGTCACAGCTTGATTTTTCCCGTTTTAACCAAGCCGAGCCCAGTAAAACCCCCAGAAACAGAAATGGGGAAAAGGAATTGTTTTAAATTTTTTCCGTTTTTTTGTGGGTAATATTACATATAAAAGCTTTTTTCCCGTCGTTTCTCAAATTTGGGTTTTCAACATTTTTTTTTTTTCTTGAACTTATAAACTGTTGACTTGTTTTATGGTCTGATGAAAATATTTACTGTTTTTTAAAAGGTTATACGTAAAATTTTATAGAATTCTGACTCCTCCACCAGTGTAACAGAAAAATAAAACATTTTCAGTTGACTTCAGTTTCTTTCTAAGAGATCTGTCCTGATTAACTTATTATCCCTTTTCACTGTACTGTTCGTATATGTTTTTATCACTTCTGATGTGGTAGTCGCAACATCAGTCGCTTTGAAATTCTTATTTTTCTGCTTCCTGTCGAATAATTTCATACCATTTGAACGAGATGTCAATGCTCTTGATGTTTATATTTTTACTTAAACGATTTGTCGTTTTTGACGAGAAATATAAAGATATTTTCTAAATTTTTAACGTAACATTTTGAAAAACTTCTTTTATGACGTCAAGGTAAATGACTTCGATAAAATAGACATTTTCGGTAAACCCCAAAATCATATTCAATCTCTCTATCCAATAATTCAAATTAATTATGATAAAAATTAGTTTTCTTTATTTTTTAAAACTATCAAAGATTTTTCAGTGTTGAAGTTCATATTCATGGCAAAATTTGGATTTTTAAACTAAAAATAGTTTTGAGACATTTATTCTATGACCATACACGTATAAAAAAAGACTGTTAATTTTCGCGTCGCATATGAAAATAAATTTTTGCTTTTTCATTATTTTTTCCCCAAAAAATATCATTACTTTACTATTTTTTAAAGTTGCCCCCCAAGTGTGTATAAACTGAATTAAATTTTTTCGCAGGGTTTTGGTAGTCTTGAAATTTATTATCTTTTTTACAGTGGGTTTTTTTTTTGCGGCCCCAATGAAAAGGCAACCCCTTGTTTTTTTATTTTTATAAAATTTACTTTTTGTGTTTGTTTTTAATCTTTCCTTAATTCATAAAATGAAACAATTACTGACTAGTGAGCCATTTAATATGATGTGATATTCACCGACAGAAAATCTGCATAACTGTATGATATTGATACCTTTATGTCATTCATGAAAAGCAGAACTAAGTAAATTTTGAGAAAGTATCTGAGCTGAAGCATATGTTTAACACACGGCAGTCCATGTTAAATTCTATCCAACATTCCGATCTTTAAATGGACATTTAACAGAACGAGAAATACCAAACTGAAGCGAATACCTGAACCCAACAAGAAAAAAGATGAAATTGATATAACTAAATATACCATAATCATTACAAGATCATGCCGTGTTGAACTATTTGAATGGATTGAAAATTTAATATCTCTGTTTAAATTTACGAGGACAGATCGTTTAGAAGGAAAGCAGATTCAAACATCCTTTCGCAGTGTAATTTTCTTTTATTGATTCCACCATATGAGATAAACTATTTTATATTGATAATCAAGTTATGAAAGTTTTACCAAAGGAGCTTGTATCGTTTTACCAAAGGTGCTTGTATCGTCTTTATTTATGGAGAGATTTGTTTGGAAGGAACATACTTCGAATAGTCCAGTATTTGGTATCACACGTTTAAAGTCACTGACACAACATTTGTACACTTTTTTCTTTAACAACCTTTTTATATTTTACAAATGTCTCTTATTCAGAAGAGACATAACTCAGAGTGAATGTGTAAACTTTTTGATAAATTAATTTACTGAAAAGAACCTTGGCCGAGGGCATTTGTGTTTAATAAAAACGTTCTATTTAATTTACATCATTTATTTTGTTCAATATACTTTAATATAATGAAATGTTTTAGATTTAAAACGTTTATTAAAACGCCTTTTTAGTACAGTAGTGAAATTTGTCAGACATAATTTCAATATTGACCTATTTAAATGTTAACCATATATATGAAACTTTAAATAAGGTAGAACATTTTTAATTGATCAGCCATAGTAAATGCTCAAAGTATATGTTGTATGATTTTTTTTTAAACTTTAAATTTACATACTTTATTTCGTTCACTGAAATCTAATTATATGAAACGTTTTAAACTAATTGACCATTGTAAATTTTGACCATAAATTATTATATTTCTTGTGTAATTTGCAATTGATAAATTGTTGTGACTTAATTGTTTTGTTACAGTAGTTGCAGCCATAGAATGTAATTTTGATACGAACTACTGTGACTGGCAGCAAGATCACTTAGACGATTTTAACTGGAAAGAAAGGAAATGGTCGTTGTATAGTGATACTGGCCCTGAATCTGATCATACCTCAGGAGGTAAATTTGTTACAGTGTAAATAAACGAAAATATTAGTAATTTAAACAGTATCTTTCTTGCATTGCAATTTTCATTTTAATCACCTAAAACATTATTATGGCTTACGGCCATTTAGTTACTAGATAATTTTTACTGCAAAGAGTTCACTATTCGAAACACGGGCGACCCAAAATAATTCTCTTCAAATAATGTAAAGTTTACTGTTTGAATTTTGAAATAAATATGTTTTAGTTGGATTTTATGTAGGTACATTATCATATTTCGTTATTGTAACCAATATAAATTAATTTTATTTCAACTTGAATAAACTCAAAACCAAAGACGAATGAATATTATGAGTCGTGGGCATTTCTAAAAATAGGCTAGTGGCGCATGAATTTTTTACTATTAGTATTCTGCCTTGTCATGATCTTTTATTCATCTCTTAAGACTTATTTCTGATAATCTAAATACAATTTAGCATTTTAAACGCATTTTGCTCCATCTTCAGTCGTGGGTAGAAACCGTAAATTGCAAGAAAACATTGGCCAAGTATCAAAGAACTATTTCAAGTGACCTTAGGAATTTATTAAACATCATTACCTCCTAGTGCCTCCTATCTTTAGCGATTTAGTGTAAGATTTGATTAATTCTTTTGAGACTGAGATCTGTAAAAGTTGGTTACATGTATCAAACTAAAATTAAAATGCAGGGCAAATTTCATTCTACCTTAAAAATATTATATCAGATATGACTTAAATACACAACGCAGATTGTTTGACGCAGCGTACATATTTTCAAGCAAAACAGGCACGACTTATTCTCTTTTATGAAAATGATTAAAATTTAAGTAATAAAACAGATGAACTGAGTGGAAAATGTAACATTGTTTTAAAATGTGCAGATAGTTGTAAAATGTTGTTTTGAAAGATTCCATGACGTTGTAAGCGATTCCTTTTTATCTCCCGCCGATGGAATTGGGAGGGGGATATTGTTTTGGGGTAGTCAGTCCAGTCCTTCGTCCGTCCGAATTTCGTTTTGGTGCTAGTTCTCTGCAACAACTGGCTGAATAACGAACTTCTATGAGAACCATTAATACCAAGAGGAGAGACGCATATTATCGCCTTGTTTCGGTCAGACCCTTTAACTCAGAGGTATGACCCTTGATTTGTTATACAGTATACGTATAGAGCAATAATCGTTTTCACGCTACTTCTCTCCAACTACCAGCGTGAATTTAACGAAACATTGTGGGAACCTTCAATATCAAGAGTTATTATATGATCTAAATATAGCTGCAATCTCATTGGTCCAAACAGTAGTCAACAGAACTTTTTATAGAATCATATTCACTGGGTGTAGTATCATATTCACTGGCTGAATTGGATTTTCCCAGTCTAAAAATAGATTGAGACTCATATTCAATGATCATATATCGTAGACTGTTAATAATGCGTGCTTATTGAAATATAATTAGTGCGTTTTGTTCTTTATGGTAAATTTCTCGATTAAAATATCATTACTTTACAATTACAGTTAAAAGTTACACCGCAATGATGAGTATAAACTTGAATTACTTTTGTATGCCAACGTTCGCGTAGTTGTTGCACGCCTTTCACGTGCCTCTTTTTCCCGCGCTTCAACGAAACAGGTTTTCCCGCGCTTCAACGAAACAGGCATAAATTGTACATGTATAAAGTTGTACAGTCTGTGATTTTCTTTAAATTCTGATAGCCTATTCATATAATAAAACAATTATTGACTAGTGTGCCATTGAATATGATGGTGATATTCACCGGCAGAAAGTCATATTGACCTCGGCTATCGCCTCGGTCAATATGTCATCTGCCGGTGAATATCACATCATATTCAATGGCACACTAGTCAATAATTGTATAATGATGTGCATATCATCAGACTCTTTAACTTACAGTAATGGCCCTTGATTTGTTACCCAGTATGCATATAGATCAATAATCGTTCCTGCAACTACAAGCTTGAATTCAACGAAACTTTATTGGAACCATCAATATCAAAATTATTAAAATAGAATAATGGTTTTAGATAATAACTAGCGTTAGAAATGTAATATTGTATTCAAACTTGGTATAAAGCAAGCTTACAAGAAGACCCTTGTTAGGATTTCTTTTGGATCCCCTTGAGTCATTGTGTTAGCAATGAGATATTGTTATTAAACTTGGTATTTATAGCAAACTATTGTAAGATCCCGATTAGGATTGCGGGTCAAGTTCATTGTTACTTAGAAGAAAGAATGTTTTAGAACGATAAATTGAGCTAGCAGTGAGGTATTGTGATCAAACATTGTATATATTAAGCTTATTAAGAGACCTAGTAGGGACTGTTGTTGGACTTCCTAGACTTAAGGTCAATGTCACTTCTTAGTAATAGCTTTAGTTTTGTAACATTTGTTGCAAGCATAACATTTTAATGTTAACACAAATAGTACTCAAAATGTTCTCATAGGAAAGGTAAATCTTTAACTAGTGCTTAAAAATTCTAATAGGAAAAGTAAATTGATAACTAGTAAATTTAATGTGTGCTTTCATAAATTTTCTTGTGTAGTTGGTCACTACATCTACTTAGATACATACAGAGAGAACAAAGGTAAAATAGCCAGACTAATGAGCCCGATGCAGTCACCAGGTCAATACTGTTTAACATTTTGGTACAGTATGTTTGGTAGTGATATTGGCGCCCTCAACGTTTACAAAGAAATGAATGACGGGAACAAAACTGTTATCTTCTCAAAAGACAAGGACATAGGTGTTCCTGATTGGTGGAAATCGGTTTCGAACATAAATGCTTATGACTCATATCAAGTATGTATTATATCTGAAAATTATATTTCTATACATATGTGCATGATATGGCCAGTGAACTAGTTCATAATGAACATAAAACATATAAATGCCTTAAACATATAATGAAATAAAAATGTATTAAGTAATTTGTATACTTTTTTGTACCTGTACATTCGGAAAACACTATATACATCACATGTCACCCTTATATATTTCCCAAATATTTAAAGCGAGATTGAACCAAGTATGTTTCTTTAAGATTGCCACTATGTGTATTTGTGCGTAAATGAATAAGAAAAAAACTAAAATGTTTCCATATGACACGGGTGCCCCAACACTCCTCTGTTTTGTCAATTTACTGACTCTAGGTCAAATATCTTTTGGGCAATACTTGACACGAATTGAAAACTGAAAATCTTTTACTAAGTCAAGGCAAAAACTTTACAAATAGTTAATAAATCTACAAGCAACCCAACGATGCATAACTATGCTGACCAAAACGATGCATAGCTATGCTGACCAACATTCTTGAAAACTTTCAGTACTACAGGTCAAATATTTTATGAGATGTGCAAGAACAAGTTGCTGATTTATACTTTTTTATACAAGGGCAATAACTCTTACAAAACTCAACAAAAATTCACACGCAAAACCCCTAGTGCACAACTTTACAGTGATGTTCATCACCATTCCCTTAAATTGGGTTGATTATAACTCAAGCAATCATGTTACACATAACATAGCATATGAAGCGGTCTTTACTAAGTCAAGGGCAATTACTCTACAAATACTGAATAAATCCAAAATCAGACCGAAGGTGAACAACTACACATGCAAACAAACATTTCTGCTACGTTTTTATGACTTTGACTCAAGATCAAATACTTTTTGAGATAGACTCAACACATTTTGATATAGACTCAACAAATTGCAAATGTTTACTTATTTAATGGCAATAACTCTAGAAATACTGAATGAATCCACAACTGAAACCTTTTGTGCACAACTAAATATGCTGGCCAACATTCCTATAAAGTTTCATGACTCCAAATAAAATTCTTTTGCGCTTCGTGCCACACAAATTGAAAAGTATCTTTTTCATCCAGTCAAGGGCAATTACTCAACAAAATAACAATAACAAAACAGAATTATACACAGACAACACATCAGGTACATAACTTCACATAATAAACAAAATTCCTGTAAAGTTTCATGACTGTAGGTCAAATATTTTTTAAGCTACGCACAAAAGAAGTTAAAAATTGTAAATTTTTACTAATTCAATTGCAATAACTCTAATAAATACAGAATAAATCCACAAGTAAACTCCCAGGTGCACAACTACACATGCTGACTAACATTTCTGTAAAGTTTCATGACTCTAGCTCAAGTACTTTTTGACCAAATTGACACAAATTGCAATTATTACTTTTTCGGGGGTCATTTATCTGACAAATCAGAATAAAACCACAAGCAAAACCTAAGGTGCACATTTTCAAATGCGGAGTATTATTCCTGTACAGTTTTATGACCCTAGGTCAAATACTTTTTCAGCTACGTGTGACACAAGTTGAAAATTGAAAATCAAGTCAAGGGCATTAAGTCTAAAAGTACTGAATACATCTACACGAAGCACCCTGGTGATAACTACGCATGCTGACCAATATTCCTGTAAAGTTTCATGACTCTAAGACATATACTTTTTGAACTACATGCGACACAATATGAGAACGGACGGACGCACGGATGGTCGGACGGACAAGAGTTAATCTAAATGACCCTGTCCTATAGTTGGTGCACCATTAACCGATTTAAACTCCCCAGCAGTACTTGTGCTGCTGACCGTTCCAAGGCTGCGCCTCTCTGTGTTCCTCAGATGTATGTCTGTTGTTTAATACTGTTTTGGTAACACTTTTGCTTGTGTCCCTTGTTGTTTTCTCGTCTACAGTAAGTATCTTTCCCTTTTCCCCTAGTTTTTATTTCTTTAATTTTACGCCTCCCCCTTTCCCGGGTCTCCTGTCCCCTTTCCCTGTGCCCTTTGACTTTATGGGCCTATTATTCAATAATTTATTTGTTTTCTTTAAATTCCTTGTCAGTTAAAAAATATTTCCTATTATTCAATTGTTTTCTTTGAATTCCTTATCAGGTACAAATTATTTTTCATTTTCGTGATTGACCTGTCCTTGTTCTGTCTTGTGCCCTGTCCTTTTTTTTGTTTGGGGTCCGCGCCTGGGCTCCTTGCCGCTGGTTCTTGTTGCTGGGTCGTGTGGGGGTTGCGTTCATTGAACGCCGCCTTTCCTTGTTGATCTTGTTCATCATATTTTATGGATTTATCAATCAAACTTGCCTTAACTTCAATGGTGGTTATACATTCAGATCGTGTTTGAAGGAATTAATGGGGACGGACATAGAGGGGACATAGCAATAGATGACATTTCTATACGATCTGGATCGTGTTCAATAGGTAAAAGTAAATATCGAGAAATCTTATATTTAATAAGTATAATCTAAAAAAACACTTGATTTTCTTTACTGTGCCAGTAATATTCTAGACTAATAATTAAAGATTGTTTTTGTGACTGCATTGATCGACCAATGATGTATCGTATTTTAGACAAAAGAGTAGGAAGTAAAATATATGTAATTTCACACATAAATAAATGAGGCAGTTAACAACAACATTATGTTAGGTTTAATATGTAATTAATTATTAATTAGATGAGCAACATATATTTTGATTAGTTGATATTAAGAGGATATTTTTTCGTTTGAGTGAAATATGGAATATATTTTCACGAAACATGATAAAATGCCACATATTTTCACGAGCCGGGACGGCGAGTGAAAATTTGTGGCATTTTATCATGTTGAGTGAAAATATATACCATATTTCACGAACAACGGAAAAATAACCTTTTTATTTAATTTCATTATCAAAGAAAAATGATTACGAACCCCATTGCTTGCTACGCAACTGCAATTGTACAGCGCGCAGTAATATAATTATTGTCTTGTTTTCCACGCGATATTTTGCGCTACATTGTGACGTCACGTAAACAACTATTTAAACGTCCGTAAAGTGTTAATGACTGAATTAAAGATATTGGTGTTCGGATTTATTTTCTTAGTTAGACCATTTTCTATCATTCTAGATAGTTTTCAAAACAAAATTCAACAAAAAGTTGTTTTGTATTTATCAGATTTTTCAAACAAAATGGCGAAAGAAGTCCCTTAAAATAAATATGAGTTTTGGCTCCGCCCACTTTCATATTTAGATTTCATATTTATTTTTAAAAATATGAAATATATTTGACTGATATAGCACCATATTTCATGGGTAAAATTAAATAATAGGTTATATTTATATCGTGTGTTTTGTTCTTTTCAATCGAACATAAAAATATAAATTTATATATAATATTATAAATGTGTTATATCACACATATTGTAGTTTCAATATGTGTTGATCAGGAGTTGGATTGTGAAATTACTGTCAAAATATTTTTATACTACTGTTGGTCAGAAATAAACGTTCTTTTTAAATGTTGTAAGAATTTATTTTAAAGTGACTATTGTGTCCATTCGAGAGTAAATGATGAGTGTTTAGGTAGAGTTTAAATATCTTTACATTTTTGTTATATTTGTTTTCAATTTTATAATAAACGTCACCAGAGTCAATCTTCTGAAATATACGACTAATTTATTTCAGCTTGACAGTGAACAGAAAATGTCATTTTAAGTGCCAGACACATTTCGATGACTGTCATAATACACATGATGCTATTTTTCAATTAAATGTATCATAAAAAGTGTCATTTTACTTGTGAGCTACTTCTAAATAGTGAGGTCATTAAAGTATTTTCATTCAGATAACAATTGTAAACGTTAATAAATAAAAGGCACTATTTATAATTTTCAAAAGAAAAAAGAATAACTTAAAGTTTCATAACACTTTTAGATTGTGATTTTGATGTTGATTTTTGCAACTGGATGCAATTTGATGGGGATGACTTCAACTGGAATAGAGGGAGTGGAAGGGCGTCTTATAGGTTCACTGGACCCGACGTTGATAAATCAGGAAGTAAACCATTACAATATATGTGTTTTCAAATATAAGATACTTTCACAAAAAAATAAACACAAACGAAGTGACAAAATCAATTCAAAAATTTGCATAAGGAAAGACATTTACGAAATTTGCAGAGCACGGGTGGTTTTGGAATAAAATCTAGCGCCATGATTTGTACAGATTTTTATTTCGTTTATCGATAAATCAATATCACTAAGTATCTTACTGTAACTGTAGTGCAAATCGTTTTGAAAATGTTTTTTTCATCTTAATCTGCTTCTGTGTTTTGGAATTGATATTCAAGATAAAATGTGTTTATGTGAGTTATAATATAACAGATAGGTAAACATTTTATTCCATATCTACGCAAGTAGATATAAATAACTGAATAATTGAATCTCATGCTACGTTTACACTATGTTCACGGCAGCGACGAAAGCCCGGAATGCAATGGAAATTTTGCCACATACTTTTCTTTTGACCTTTGGTATTCATGTTAACTTGTAAAATCTTGATGCAATAATTGCTGTTGCATTATATATGCATCCCTGTGAGACCGCGATCTAAAATCCAGTGCCACTGTAAAAATCCAGTTTTTTACCCCAACAGCTTTTCATGGATACAATGATAACACGCGAGGAATCTTTAAGCATACAATATAAAAATCCGTAGACGCAATATATTTTGGGTGGCTTCCGTTATCATAGTGTAACATACAATTACGCATTAAACTGTTACCCTACGATAACGTTTTCATTTTCTTACTTTCACGCCAATTTTAATACTTTTTCTACATTTCTTGGCGGTCGATCCACCAACCGGCTTTCGTTGGAAACCTAACATTTATTACCATTTCTTCTGCAGTTATCTGACTACAATTTCACATGATATCTAAATCAGTGATGAGAGACAAATCGCCATGAGAATCAGTTGTCACTGAGAATATAAGGCTCGCCCGAGGATTGTACCAGCAACCCCTGCATTATTTATCCCGTGTTCTCCCTATCAAATTACGTTTGCATACTGTTATCATATGGGGATGCTTTACACAAATATGAATACATGTATATGTTTGCATGTCTGCTTTTGCCGACATTGATCATGAAAACATTTTCAGAACATTCAAAAAAGTTACATTTATTAAATAAAATAGTATTTTTATTATTTCCTTTTTTAAGACGGTCACTATATCTACATAGACACAAGCGGTAAAAATAGACATGGTACAGCAATATTATTCAGCCCCCTTCAGGATGCTGGGAAATATTGTCTCTCGTTCTTGTATTACATGTATGGCGTCGACATTGATAGACTTCAAATACAAATATGGAATACAAACGGCTCAGATCGGCGTACAATGTTTACACTTGAATCAGCCCAGGGCCATAAGTGGTTTCATAAAACGATTTCCTTATATTCAATGGATGTGTTTCAGGTGAGGCTGATATTATGTTAATGTCAACATCATTTGTCAACCTACTTAATTAATCCTACTTAAGGAATGACCCTCCAGAATGGCACAATACGGAATTGAAAAATTGAAAACATAGGTCAGTTATATGCCTTGAAGGACACCTGTATGTAAAATTTAGATGTTTTACAATGGACACTTTTCTGAACTAAACCTTTGACAATAAAAGGGTTTTTTTCTCAAAAATCTGGAAACTCTAAATAATCTATAATAGCATCCTCCTTACAAAATTGTTTTACTATTAATTATTTTATGAAACAGATAATAGCATTCAGGTAAAGAACAACACAATCAACATGATATTTCTACTCAAAATGTTTAAAATATGTTTAATCATTCCCTGCTAAGAAAACCTAATTCAAAATATCTCTAAACTTCACAAAATGAGGGGCTGCTTTCAAAGTTTGTCTAAGTATTGTTTGCATTCGAAACGTCCAACAACAGTGATTTGTTTATTGACAATATTTTAGTTCTCAGGTCTTCGGCCATAAGTGCATAGGCCGAAATTATATCAACATGAATGCATGAATGTCTCAATACGAGAGTTATTCATTCTGTGAAGAAAGTTATTAAATCATTTATATGTTAATTTATAAATCAAACATGAATGAAGTTGTCAGAGAGATATTTTAAAATTTGCTTGTGTAAGCGTGATTTAATCTATATTCAGTATCTTGTTGTTGGTTTCTAGATAGCTGTCGAGGGGAGAACAAACTATTGGTGGTATTGGTTTTCAGGAGTCTTAGCAATTGATGACGTTACACTGTTATCCTGTCCTGGTAAGTGTTAGTATTATACATAAATTGTATCTTTTTCTTTAATTAAGTAATAACATCTGCCTGAGAGGTGTATATCGGCTATTTAACACCGGTTTGGAGTTTTGATGCGTAGGAATTGACCACGAAGGCAGTAGGCCTAAGTGGTTAATTTTGTCGCATCAAAACGACAATGCCGATATACACCTCTCAGGCAGATGTTATTACGATTCTTACACAATGAAATAAGGAAAATGACTAATGTTATTTTTCAAGCGGAAATAACTTCCGGTGCCGATTTTTGTATAACGCTGTTCGATTTTCGCACCCTACTGTTGCGAAGATTTGGAAACTATTAAACAAAAGAAATAATAAGAAAAAAAACGTTATTTTATCAAGTTTTCAACAATAAAAACTTACGTCGTATTGTGTTTACATCAGTATCCCATTCATCATTCTTGCCTGTATGAAATAACGTCAGCTTGTTTATGAATGAGTTGTTTACTTCATGTACTTAGGATGACGTCATTACGCTCCTTACGAATTGGCGCCGTTTTGTCATTCATATGTGGCGTTAGTGTATGTGAGATATTATTTCGGTATTGTACAAAAAGAAAACATTATACGAACTGAAAATATAAATAAAAATGTTTTTTATTTTTGCTTTAAAATGCTTTGTAAAGTATACAATCGAGGGTGAAAACATAACAGCGCATATACAAGTAGTCCCTAACCGGTGTTTATTCAATTTGGAAGTTTAACACCAGTTTTTTTCCTTCTTTGTCTATAGTGACAAAATCACGTGAGTGTTAGAATAAAGAGTTTGCATCGCTTTCTCATAAAACATCGTTTGTATTTTGTTACTGAATATCCAAGAAAATACGAGGGGTGTTCGGGAAGTTTAAGGACTTTTGCTGTAGTTTAATAGATAATAGGAATTGAAAAACAAGAAAAACACCATAAAAATATATAATGCTTTTACAGCCAGCTGTAAAACTTTTATTGAAATACATTAAACAATTAGTAAATTACAAATAAAACAAAACATACACCGAAGCATACCCGGAGCACGCTAACGTCAAGTCAGTGCTTAATATGTTGACGTCAAACTTCCCCGATCGTCATATCGACTCACTTCTCGACGTAATCTCCATTCACAGCGATACATTTTCTATGCCTCTTGACCCATTTGTCGTACATGTCCTCGTACCAGATGTTGTCGAATGACGAAACTATTCTCTGGGTTTCAATTTGTAGTTCAAACCCGGAATCAAAGCGTCGACCACGCAGCTGTGCTTTGATTTCCGGAAAAACTCGGAAATCCATCGGCGCGAGGTCCGGGCTATAGGGTGGATGCTCGAGCGTCTCGAATCCCAGGAGGCTGATTTCCAACTGCGTTGACTGTGCACGGTGGCCGGGGGCGTTGTGTCGGTGAAGATTAATCTGGTCGAGGTCGATCCCGGGGCGCTTCTTCCGTATAGTCTGGACGAGATCCCGCCTTAGAACCTGAAATCAAAAAATGATTAAGTTTTCTATGAATAGCGTATTAAAAAAAATCAATATATTTTTTTTTTTCATTTATTTGATTAGTTTTATCTAATATTTAAAATAGAATAAATTATCATTTAAAAGTGTCTATAATTTCCTTTGAGTAATAATTGGCGGTCACAGTCTGTCCTTCCGGAATACGGTGGTGTAATAGCATTCCCTGCCTGTCCATGAAAAACACGACCATGTGTTTTCCGCCGCTTTTCTGAACCCGCGCTTTCGTTGGAGGAGGACTTCCGGGAGTTTTCCAGACAGATGATTCCTGTTTCGACTCGGGATCATAGTGGAACAGCCAAGTTTCGTCCGTAGCGATGATGCGATTTAAAAATGACAACCCCTCTCCTTCGACGCCTCGCACGAATTATCGGGAACAGTGTAATCTGCGTTCCCGCTCGTCGTTTTTCAGAAGTCTTGGGACCCACCTGGCGCTTACTTTCGACATATTGTCTTCTTTTAGGCAATCGTTGACGGTGGACACAGATACACCAAGTTCACTTGACATTTCTCGCACAGTGCGTCGTCGATCAGTTGCCGAACCTTGTCTTTTACTCCAGTTTTCACCACCGATGGTCGACCGCATTGTTTGTCATCCTCTTTTGACTCTCTTTCTTTTCGGAACATGTCGTGCCATCTAAATACTAGCGATCTACAGCATTTCTTTGTTGTACTAGATGCTTAAATCATTTTATACGTCTCCGTTTGTGTCTTTTCTATTCCTACACAAAATTTGATGATTGCCATGACTTCAACGTCGCCTATTGACGTCATTTTTCTCTTGATTTGTGTAAGCACCAGTGATGTTAAAACCGTTGTTATTCAAAGAATTGTAACGATTTACGAGTAGAATTTTCAGGAACTGACGTTGTATTTAACGCTCGTGCCTTTTCGTGACTTTATCAATTGTAATTTAAGAAAATTATTATCAATTAAATATATCGGTACCATTAACTTAAATACGATAAAATCGGAGTGCTCCGGGTACGCATTATGCGGTTCCTATAGAAACAAGTTTCGAACGGTATTTGTCTATTCTTGTTAGTGAGCGATATAATACATATTGAGCACATATTTAAATTACATTTTGTGAAATAGGGATAAAAACGCAACATTAAGGAACGAAATACAGCAAAAGTCCTTAAACTTCCCGACCATCCCTCGTAGTAACTTCAGGTAAGGCCTTTCACTTTTAATATTAAAATGAAATATCAAAAATAGGTAAACACCAATACATGCCTTTAATAGACAACATTCAAACATTTAACATGACTTTAAATGAAAATATATGATTAAAACCGTTCTCTTATAACAGTTCTAATACCTTATTAGTTGATGTCTGATAAACATTATAAAGGGGCATAGGCAAATAATTTATTTAACCACATCATGCAAACACGATAGTATTAGTATTACATGATTATTTTATGTTATTAATGCTGCAGATTATGCATAAAAGAATCGCGTTTTATCTACGATTTGTCAACTTTCGTTTTTGAATGAAAATGTCAGATTTACACAATTGAACTGACTAGACCAGTATTTATAATTTACTTTTATTTCATTTTATTTTATCTTACAATGTGGAGGTGAGTTATGCATTATAATCGTCTTATATATTTTGTCCACTCTGCCTTATTTGAAAATCATTCATCACAGAATTCATGTTTATATTTTTCTGATGACAGATAAAAAATGATTTTATGAAAGAAGTCAACTGACTGCAAAAAGTATTGATCTGTATTACAACTCGTATGAATAGTAGCTATTTCCAATACAGTCTTCGAATTTTAAGAATATACGATACAGAACACTTAAAATGTATTAATAACTCACGGAAGTAGCCATAAGCTCTGTTTAGTTTTAGACCAGTAATGGACAGTAATATATATATAAATAAGCAATCCTGTTGTTTTCATATCATTCTGTCTATTTCTAGAGATACGAGTATTTGGCGGAAAGGTTTTCTGTTCGAAAATGCAATTGATTTTTTTTACAAAAACAACAATCGTTCAATTGAGGTATATTGGTATAATAAGATTGAAACAAATAGTCTATTGAATACAGACAGCCTAATCAAGCTTATGCTCCATTAAGAATAATGTATAATAAACGGCACAAACTTGGTATTTTTTGAAATTCCAAGGCTTGATTTTAACATAAAATCATGTATGAAATAACATTATATAACTCAGCAAAATTGATCATTCGATCAAGCAGGGAAAATTAATGCGAACAATTTATGTGCTTTTTGGCTTCTTTTACTTGTACATGTATATTATTAGTTATACATATTTTTTGACAGGTTATATGGCCCTATATAAAAGGTTGTTTGTAAATATAACCCGAGCCGCTAGGCGATGGTTATATTGCAAACAATCGTTTGTATACGGCTAAATAACCTGTCAGAAATATTCATAGCGAATTTATTATACAGCAAGCATCATTTTTAGAGGGATAAAAAGCGAGATTTCTTTATAAATCGACAGCAGCCGTGTATATAAAACTATATGAACGTCAATTTAATGAAAAGCGACGTTACAGACGTGCAGTATTATAAAGACACTTATTATGTTCTTAAACATATTGTTAAACATCAATGTAAATGTTGTCACTACATGCTGCCATTTTTGGGGGCGCAAGCCCCCAATGTAATTACGATAAATTCAGCTTACTACCTTTTGAACGCTTTTAGCTATTTAGCTGCGCTGAGCAAAAATAGTTCCAATATTTTGCCATAATATTCAGATCATCATAATACCTTATCTATTTAAAAATGACTGGTCATTTTATTACTAAATTTTAAATCCTTTTATCACAAAAATTACATATACCATTGCTTTACGCGATTTGAAAATTACTACGCTAGCAGTCGATAAAAATTTAATGAGAACCAGTTTATTTGTTCTACCTTCTGGTTTCCCGATACATGAGAGCCAAGTACTTGCATAAATTTGGTGCCAATTTTATTAAGTCATAAATTAACAAACTATCATAAGAACACAATATTTCAGGAAAAATGGAATACGATTTTCATATTAGATAACTTTTAAGCTTAAAATGGTTAAAAAGTGTGAATGACAGAGTAAAAATTTGTATGCGTATGAATACGAAACTATTTTCCCTCTGACGTCATTTTCCCGAAATCGCCATCTTTGTCAGTTATTCCGAGAAAAAGGTTGAGAAGATTTTGCTATCAATTAGGGAAGTCCCAGCTATTTACGTTGATATTTTGGTTGCAATCTATTCCGTATGTATAATCAAGTTTTCTTCACAATCTGGGTAAAGCTATTGATATATTTCGCTTGATAGACTGCAAATTTTAGTGCAGTGTCGTCTCAACCCTAAAACGTACTCGGCCCCGAGTCAGCTCGCCCTTTTTTCAACTCGGTCCACTTTTCAATTTATTAACATATTGGTTTGTTTTATCACTCTTTATCTTTGAAACCACAAAATTAATATCTAGGCTTATTCAGAAGGAAGTGGCTAGCCGAACGGGCCCGTACGGCTTG